TATATATATATATATTATATATATATATATATGCACACACACACACACACACACACACACAACACACACACACACACACACACACATATATATTATATATATATATATATATAATATATATTATATATTATATATATATATATATATATATATATATATATTATATATATATATATATATATATATATATATATACCGTAATGGGTTTGCCAGTAAGGCGGCGAATCGTTAGTATGAAGAGGTAGATAAATACGGCCGTGAAGAATCTCATCTTTATTAATCTAGCAGACGTTTCGAAGGATTACATGCCTTCATTTCAATGCTGTAATAACCAGATAGAAGGGTCATTAGACTATGTAAAAATATGAAGGCGTTCTGGTTTTACAAAAACGTAACAGAATAAACAATATTAACAGAAAATATATACAAAAAATACATGAACACAATAGAAAAATATATAAAACATTTAGAGACGTAAAATCAATGTTAAACTAACCAAAAAAGGTGTTTATGGAGATGAGCAATCTAGTGGGTAAACAAGGGGGTCGCTGTGGTTACGTTGTTTAGCTCTGGTTGCATCTTTTGTATCAGGAGGGATTCTGAGGTGATGAGGTCTAGGCGGGAGGAGTGAGATGACAAAATACTAAAATCTGTGGTAGAAAAAGGGTGTGAGTGTAACTGGGAATGCTCTCTTATTGCCGAGAAGGATGGTTTGCTCAGCGGGAGGCCAGTCCTGAAAGACTTGCCTTTATGTTCGGAGATGCGGTGACATAACCATCGTGAGGTGGATCCCTCGTACCTAGCTTGACAGCTAGGACAGGTAAATAAGTATACCACATTAGAACATAAGTCAGAGCTGTGATTTAAAGGATGTTTTAAGAACTTAGCTATTGTTGTTGTTACTAAAGACAAAGGTAAATTTAATCTGGGGGTAATTATTTTGCAAGAGCGTTTTTAACCGTTTCCTGATTTCAAAGCTTAGATCACCCAGGTAGGGTAGTTTAACATATCGATGGTCTCTTTTAACCGTGGAGACAATTTGTTGATTGGTGAATTTCTTACACAGAAAGGTTTAGTAATTTTATCACACAACTGTAATGGGTACCCATTAGTAATAAAAAAGTTTTTTAGAAATGATAGTTCATTATGGAAGGCATTCCAGGTGCTACATAGATTGTAGGCTCTAGTTATAAGAGTTTTCACACTATTGATTTTGTAAATATACGAGATGTAACTGAGAAAATGTAGGCCGAGGCCAGTGAAAGTGGGTTTACGGTAAATGCTAGTTTGGAAGATACCATTGTTGTTAGTGATCATAGTATCTAAAAATGGCAATTGGTTGTCCATTTGCAATTCACAGGTGAATTTGATGCTGGGGTGTTTGGCATTTAGGTAATCTAGAAAAAGATTAATGTGTGAAGGGTGCTTAAAGAGCAGGAAAGTGTCGTCGATGTACCGACGATAATGTAGGGGTTTGAATTCAGGCGGGCAGTTATCTAGCCAGCCTTTCTCATGGTGACATAGAAATGCATTAGCATAGGAGGGGCCAAGTGGAGAGCCCATAGCTACGCCATCTGTTTGTGCATATAGGCAATCGTTAAACGTAAAAACTGAATGATGGGCAGTGATTTCCAATAACTTTTTGAAGGTAATCGTATCCAAACCATATTTGTCAAGATAAGTATTGTCCAGGTTGTTAGCTATCAACTCCGTGGTCTCTTGTAGAGGCACGTTTGTGAATAACGACTCGACATCAAAACTCGCCATAGTGACGGGTTGTTGGAAGTTCAGAGACGTGATTTCCTTAACAAAGGATGTGGAATTATCAATAGTATATTGATTGGATGTTAAAGGGGAGATGATGGGAACAAGAAATTTTGCGGTGTTGTAATTGAAAGTGCCAATCGAGGAAATGATAGGCCTTAAAGGGATATTAGGTTTATGAACTTTGGGTAGTCCATAAAGAACACCAGGTCTGGATCCAGAAGTCATAAATAATTACCCCCAGATTAAATTTACCTTTGTCTTTAGTAACAACAACACAATAGCTTTCTTAAAACATCCTTTAAATCACAGCTCTGACTTATGTTCTAATGTGGTATACTTATTTACCTGTCCTAGCTGTCAAGCTAGGTACGAGGGATCCACCTCACGATGGTTATGTCACCGCTTCTCCGAACATAAAGGCAAGTCTTTCAGGACTGGCCTCCCGCTGAGCAAACCATCCTTCTCGGCAATAAGAGAGCATTCCCAGTTACACTCACACCCTTTTTCTACCACAGATTTTAGTATTTTGTCATCTCACTCCTCCCGCCTAGACCTCATCACCTCAGAATCCCTCCTGATACAAAAGATGCAACCAGAGCTAAACAACGTAACCACAGCGACCCCCTTGTTTACCCACTAGATTGCTCATCTCCATAAACACCTTTTTTGGTTAGTTTAACATTGATTTTACGTCTCTAAATGTTTTATATATTTTTCTATTGTGTTCATGTATTTTTTTGTATATATTTTCTGTTAATATTGTTTATTCTGTTACGTTTTTGTAAAACCAGAACGCCTTCATATTTTTACATAGTCTAATGACCCTTCTATCTGGTTAATTACAGCATTGATAATGAAGGCATGTAATCCTTCGAAACATCTGCTAAATCAATAAAGATGAGATTCTTCACGGCCGTATTTATATTTACCTCTTCATACTATATTATATATATATATATATATATATATATATATATATATATACTATATATATATATATACATGTATGTTATACATATGTAATATATATAATATAACATATTATACATACATACATATATATATATATATTATATATATATATATATAATATATATATATATATATATATTATATATATGATACCCACACACACACACACACATATATATTATATATATATATATATATATATATATATATATCTATATTATATATAATTATGTGTGTGTGTGTTATATGTATATATATATATATATGTAATAATATTATATAATATATATAATATATTGATATGTAATATATATATATATGTTATAATATATGTATATATATATATATATATATATATAATATATATATATATATATATATATATATATAACATTATATGTGTGTGTGTGGTGTGTTGTTTGTGTGTGCATACATGCATATATTGCATACATATATAAATATATTTTATATGATTATATATATATATATATATTATATATGCATATATTATAATATATATAATATAGATATATATACATATAATATGTATATATATATAAATGAATAAATAATATACATATATAATATATATATATATTATATATATATATATATATATATATATTATATATATATATATACATTATACATATATATATGCATGCATACATATATACATATATACACATACATATATATAATATACATATTATATATTTATATGTATATATATATATATATATTATATATATATAGTATAATATAGTAAATATATATATATATATATATGCATGCATACATATACATATTAACATACATACATATACATATATATAGTATAATATATATATATAATATATATATATAAGTATAAATAGCATAATACATATATACATATATAAAAAATATTAATATACTATATATATTATATTATATTATATATTATAATTATATATACTATTCGCGATCTTTTTCTCTCTTCGTCACGTGTTCATATGTATACAGAGAGAATGAGAACAAAACATCTCCCGATACTCGCCAACACAAAGAAATATTTCAAAGGCTTCAAAACGCCTAAGATCTGGAGATTCAAGAAGAATTGAATCTCCCAAGAGGAATCAAACAGCTCCTGCTTTTGTTTTGGTGTTCCCGCGTTAACTTCGCTTTTTCTTTTGATGTCTATGTCTCTTCCTCTGTTTCTTATCAAGTGTTATTGTTATTAGTGTGATATTTCTTTTTTTCATTTCTTTTAGT